TTTCAGATGGTCATTTCTGGGTCAGGGGGCCAGATAGAGTGTTCCTTGTGAAGTGCAGAGTTGTTCCTCGCCCGTGGGGGTGGACGTGCCAATGACCTCGGGGGTTGCTGGAGGTCGGAATGGTCTGGGGGACGGGTTGAGCATTTTCTATGATGTGATTTTCGTTGGTTTCTGTTGTGATCCATGGATTGCAGTTGCCTGTTTCGTTGTTTATCAGAGTTTTCTGGAATGCTTCACGTTTTTCCAGAGTGGGTCAGAATTTTCCGGAGTGGTCCTGAGTTTTACGGAATGTTCCATAGTGCACAATGTAATTGTTCCATCACCTTCCAGAGCATTCGGGGGCTTTCCAGAGTGTTCCATGGTGCTCTTTGGCTTACAGGGGTATTGTTCTTTTCAAACGAGTATTGTGTATGAATATATATAAAATTATGTGTGTATGGTGTATATAAAATCCCTGGATGAAAGAACTTTGAGTGTTGTGCACCAAGAGGCTTTGCAGCAGTTTTTTTATAGTACCCAGGATTAAGAGTTTTTTAGTCAAGTAATTGATTTTTGGAGGGTGGGTTTTCTCTGTACACCAGCAACTTTGCTTTGTTTTGCCGGTGCCCAGCGATGCAGGCACCTCTGCTAGTCTTCAACACATTTCAAATGATGCAGTTACATTATATTGCATAAATTTTAAATTAGAGGAACATTATGCTACTTGTTCAACAATTCCAGGAACAAGAAACCACCATTGCTTTATACCAAAATAATTAACAACTTTACAGATGAGACTGGTGATGTTCGACAATATGTTTACTAATGTAAATATTTCAACAATGCAGCAGAACTATACGATTCCACTTGCCTCTATTTCACCAGGAATTTATTTAGCATGTGTTTATGATGAAAAATCGTTTTTAGGTAATATTGTCGAAATATCTGAAGAAAATTAAGATATCCTTATAAAGTTCATGAAGCAGCCTATTTCCTCAAACACTTTTACTTGGTCACATAAAGAAGATATTTGCTGGGTTCCAATTACGCATGTTCTATGCAAAATTTTATCTTTAAAAGTGCAATCAGCAACTGGTAGAAGCTATGAACTATCAGCTCATGAAAAAGCTGAAATACTACATTTGTACAATAGTATTTATAATAACAAAATTATATAAGAACATAGCAAAATTGTTATTAATTTGATCAATCCAAATTTTTACTATTAAAGCAAATTTGAATGATTCAATTTTTATTTTTATTTTTTATTAAGTAGTAATATGTAGTATATTTTTTACATAATATATATTACATAATAAACTTGTGTATTGTGATAACAAATCAATTAACTCTTATCACTTGGTATAATCTGTAACCTAAATTTAAACAATGATAATCAAATAAATTGGGAAGAGCGGAATAGCGAATGCTTTGGGGAAAATTATACAAAATTTATAGTCAGAATATGAAATAGTAAGAAAATAAGTGATATGAAAACAAATATGAGTAGGGCAGATAATAAGAATAAAACAAAAATTCTTTATTTTCATTATTTACCTAATGTGCAACTTTTATATGTGCTCTAATTACCATTTAACTTTAAAAACTAAATGTCACAGCTTTTATATGACACACTGCTTAAGGTAAAATGTTTAACAAATAATTAATAAAATTAATCAAGAAAAAAGTTCTTCTTATGATAAGAATGTTCTCTGCAAAAATATGCATGTTAAAAAGTAAATGGAAAGGGGGGAGGGGAGGCAACTAAGTTTAATTATAAACTAATAATTAGCTATAAACTAATACTGAATTAAACAAAGTTTAATTCAGTATTAGTTTATAGCTTATTTTTAGTAATGATTATGATATACTTTTATACATATTTTTTGCATTACAGTAGACAATGAAAACTAAAATACATCAATACCTATAATTTTATCGTTTTTAATGTATTTTGTGCCAACTCCATTGCTCTGACTTTGTCACTTCCCAATGAGTACCCACTAATTTTTTTTTTGAAATCACTTTAATAAAGTCTTTTAAATCAGTAAAAAAAATGTATTATGAAAATCAGTGTTGATCCTAGGTTACTGGTGGTTTAATGGGAAGGCACAATTTTTAAAGTTTTACCCGGAGCCACTTTTAGGAGTCCATTATTTCTTACTGAATCATATGTTATCAGCAAATTTTTAAATATTAGGAAGCCTTCCATATATAGAAACTAAAAAGATGTCTCTTCACTTCTTAAGTTGCTAATTTTGTATATTGACCAATTTTTAAGGTTTTTAAGGCAGCCATTATGGATAAAATGTGACATTTAATGTCAAGGTATTAACAAAGTAAGCCTACAGTTGTATATAATTAAAAAAATTTGAAGGTTTTCTGAATTTTCGTTTTTAAAATACAGAGCTTCAAAGTATGAACAAAACATGTTTTTGCTAACAAAGTTTTATTTTTGAAAAAATCAGAAATTTCAAATGGTGATATCTTATGAACCACAAAAGATTTTAAGCTGAAATTTTCAGGAATTGCTTTTCTCATTGATATATACTAACCTACCAAGTTTCATCAAAATCTGAATGGCTCTATGATGGACCCTGGTTCACTTGGCATGGAATGACCCAATGTTATTAAAAAATACTCATGCATAGTAATGTTATTAAAAAATATTCATGCATAGTAATTTTATTAAAAAAAAATTCATGCATAGTAATTTTATTAAAAAAATATCATACATAGTAATTTTATTAAAAAAATATTCATGCATGGTAATGTTATTAAAAAAATATTCCTTCGTGGTAATGTTATTAAAAAAATATTCAGGCATAGTAATATTATTAAAAATATTCATGCATAGTAATGTTATTAAAAAATATTCATGCATAGTAATATTACTAACAAATATTTATACATAGTAATTTTATTAAAAAAATATTCATACATAGTAATTTTATTAAAAAAATATTCATGCATGGTAATGTTATTAAAAAATATTTATGCATAGTTTTGTTATTTAAAAAACTATTCACTTATAGTTTTTTAAATAACATTACTGTGTGAAATCAAAAAGGTCAAATCAGACCTTTTTGACTCAAGAGAGTCAAGAAGGTCAACTGATGATTGTCATATAAAAAAAATCTCTTAATAAGATAATTCCTGTTGAATTATTACTTTATATCAGTTTAGTTTTAAAAAAACTTAATGAAAAATTCTGATTAAGTGAAAGAAAATATTATTAAAAAAATAGCTCTACTTTCCTCGCAGAGTTTTTATTGAGTGAAACTATACAGCACTATAAAAAGAAGAATTAAAAACTTTATTTCATATTGATAACACAGAATGACAAAAAAATTTTGTGTTTCAGAGCAAACAATACGCTTTTCAAATAGCATTTCTTATTTTGTGAATTGAAATAAGAAATTAGCATTTCTTATTTCAATTGTGCATTTTTTACCATCATGTCAATTATACAACCCATTTTTTGCCATCATGTCAATTATACAACCCATTTTTTATAATCATGTCAAGTTGTAAAGATGTTTGGTTTCAAATATTTAGCATTTGGGTAAAACCTTTAATACTGCAAAAGAAAAATTATTCAAAAGTTTGTCGACCTGGGTCTTAAAAGAAGCATATTTTCATAAAGATTTTAAAAATAACATGAATTTGTAATAAAATACTTTTTATATTATTAGCGTTTTTTTCACAATATTTTTTGTCAATAAATATCAAGTAAAAATATTTATGTTTTCTAAAATCTCAATAAAAATATGCTTCTTTTGAGACCCAGTTTGACATTTTTGAAAATTTTTTGTTGTTGACAATATTAAAGAATTTGAATTTAAAATTGAATTCTCTTCACAAAGTTTAAGGATTTGGGAAATTTGGGAACTTTGTTCCTAAACTGTAACAAATGTAATTTTTTTTTGAAAAACAAAAAAACAAAACAAAAACTATAAAAAAAAAACAACAACAACAACAAACAAACAAAATATTTGACATTAGAATAAATATATAAATTTTGAAATTCAACACATATCTGAAAGTTGTTTAAGCTAAGTTAAGAAAGTTAAGCACCAAAAAATCTTTAACTCTTGGTTGTATAATAAATAGTAACAAACAGAAAATTCCTGAATATATAAAAACATTTTCATAAACTCATATTTAGAAATATATTTATAGTCACGAAATATATTTATAGTCACAAAATGTAAATTTTTACGTATGGAATATTAGATGACATGTTATCTAATTAATAATTTTTTGAAAAATTAAGGCTGATTTCAGATGTATGTAGTTTTTACAACACATCACAAGTGATGTGATGTAAAAACTACATACATCTGAAATAACATTTGTTATAGAACTGATTTACATATTTAAACATGTGTATAGTTTTTTATAAAACAACTTCCAAAGATATTATTTTTTGTTAATTTTCATATAGATTGTTCCGCATATGAAGAGCCTAAGTTTTTGTTTTGACAATCATTACATAAGAGTTTGCCAAAATCTCAATTTTCAGTTTGAATTTTTTTACTTTTTTTTTTAATTAATATTATATAAAACATGTAATTAACTAAAATTTCTACAAAACAATTAGCAATAAAATTAAAAATGGTTTACATATGATACATGATATCAAACTTTTATTTTTAATTTTTCTATATATGTATAGGTAGAACAAAAACCATTTAGTGTGTTTTGTTCTACCTACTCAATATAACCTAGATACTAATTTTGACCAAAATAATTCAAACCCAGATTTCAGAGTTTAGGAATATATTGGTTAATAGAAATTTTATTAAAGGTATTCACAAACTCTGGGATCTGGGTTTAAAACAATCACAAACTCTGGAATCTGGGTCCAAAATATTCACAAACTCTGGATCATAAGTTGATTAAATGCAAACATCAAATTTTTAATAACTTTATAAAAGGAAATGTCAAAACAATTTTCAGCATTTCAGATTTAAGAAATAAAATAAATCAGTGTCCCTAGTAAAAAAAATCAAAACTACCTGTGTTTGAAGGTTTTGAAGAGCAAACATAATTTTGCTTACAAATCGAATAATCACATCTTTTACCTAAAAAATAATAATACCATCTCCTAAACATAATAATACTATCTCCTAAACATAATAATACTATCTCCTAAACATAATAATACTATCTCCTTAACATAATATTCTTAACATATATAAAAATATCATTAAAACATGACCATTATAATTAACCTGCTTAAAAAACTAAAAAAAAACATCTCACTTTGGTCCTGTCTATAAAGTGACCTCTACACTCTTTTATATCACTATTTAATGATCGCAACTTGTTCATTATGCTTGACAAACTGATCTATAGGGAAAAAGATCAATATAATCAGTCAGAAAGTAAAAAAGATCAAAACAGATTAATAAAAAAACTACTTTGAACTGACAAAGAAAGCTTTGGCATTGAGTACTTAGTCTGTGGATATAACATAAATTTTTCAAAAACTATTTATATATGTATAGGGGGACGGGGTACAGTAGCTACATAGCCATAACATTTATATGCAAAATCATTTGTAGATGATATTTAAATTTTGTCAATATATTTTAATTTAGTTAAAGGTAGTAAAAAAAATATTTTAAAATCAATTTTTACAATAATAACTAAAATATTTTTTTTTTATATTTGACAAGAGGATTTGATGTAGAACATTTAACTCTTTCAGGATTTGAAAGAGAATATAGTTTCTTAAGACCAACAAGACATCAAATATTTTATTCAATAAAGAAAAATATTTTATTCAATAAAGACAAATGCATCCAACATTTTTTTTGGGAGACAAAAAGTAGTACTTCAAACAGGATACTTTTGTAACTTTTTCTATAAAATGTGTACACATGTTGGGCAAGAAATTTATGGCAAAAAACCCAAGATCAACATAATCCAAAAATAATTAAATTTATCAGTTAAGTTAACTTTGAGCATTGTGTATACATAGCTTGCCTTTTCCAAAACATCGGGGGCATTGTTTTGGAAAAGTGACGGCTTAAATATCGACCAAGTAAGAATAGATTAAAAAAAAAAAAAAAAAAAACAGATTTAATAACTTTAATGCTGAACAAATTCCTAGAAGCACTTTCTATCTGTTTCTAAACGTTTTCCAATGCGCTGAGAATAATTTTGGACACAAAAGAAAGCAAGAAAATGATTAAGTGGTCAAAACCATGATCCCTAAGGTGATGGAGTGTCTCAGAAAAGCATGCTTGACCACAGTGACTGGGTTTCAATAGGGCAAGCTGGCCAAAATCAGTTTTTTGCATCAAGTTACTATGGAAACACTTTGATATATTGCTGATTTAAAATGGAAGAAACAGTTTAATTATGTATGCAACAAAGCAAAAAGACATTTTGATATTATGTGGCGTACCTTTACATGCTTAAATATATTAATAGTGAAAATTTTATACATATCATTTATGAGACCAGTGTTGGAATATGGCGTAGTAGTGTGATCTCCATATTTTGTTGGTAATATTAAAAATTTACAAAGGCGAGTAACAAGGTTATCAACATTATTACAGTACAAAAATAGACTTGATATACTTGGACAAAGTTAGAGACAATTTAAAAGGGTTGATGCAATTCAAATGTATAAAAATTTTAATCAACTAAATATATTGAAACTTTGACCAATAATTAGCAATAATAAATAGTAAATCATTAATATCATGTGATCACAATTATAAACTGAAATCAGAGCTGGTAAAAGAGTGCACAGTAAGATTTACTTACAAATCCCTTTAGAACTATTTAGAACAAGTTAAACTCTGTTACAACCAATGCACAAAGTTTAAATCATTTTATATATTTAATAGGCAAAGAAAAGGAATTAAAATTTAACTAATAAATGATAAGAAATATTTGATAAAATGTAAAACCTAAAATATAGTTGTCATAATTTGACTAATTCCAAAGAAGTATTTGCTCCTGTTTCATCAATTTTTTATTTTTAAAAATTTGGATGCATTCATTCACATATAATTATAACTTTTCCAAGTACAAAACATGATATACCTGATCAACAAGCCATAAAGAGCAAATCAAGACTGGCATTGCTCATCTTTATTGTGATTTTCAGGGAAAACCATCATCCTTGATAATGAGCCTTACTTCACTATGTTGTACTTAAAAAAAACAGCACTTATTATTCTAGTGACTCCATCAGGCATTAAATATTGCAAAAATCACAAGTTTGAACCCAAGCTATTTGCCTGACTGGCTGCTTCTGACAAAGGTATTTCCTAGCCATTTTTTGTCAAGAGCCTTGCATTCAACAAAGCCATCTATGAAATGGATTAGGGAGCATTAGTGTTGTTCATAAATGCTCATTATGTCAATGGTAATTATGTATTTTACCTGGCCCTAGCCATCATCCCATGACTAGCCCTAAATTGATTGCCATAACTGCCACCAACTGCTTTGAGGCCCATAGCATTAGTTTCATTAAAAAAGTTGACAATCCACTAGATGTACCAGAGAGTCACCTAATTGAAAAACTTTATTTAATAATAATATAATAGAAAAAAGGCTATTTTGACAGGCAATTTGTATGAGCAACTACATGGTTTTTTCAAACCATGTTTTATTCTGGTTTGTAGTTTCTCATACACGAGTTTAACCTCGTATTTTCACTTTTTTAACTTATCTTGGAATTGGGTAAATCTGAAGAAATAGACTGTTTAAAGACTTTATTAAAATAAATAAAGAACTAAAAACTATTTAATGATTTTTGGTAATCACCCATTAAAAAAAATTTTTTTAGTATTATAATTATTAATTAGTATTTATAAATAAGTGAGAACCTGATAATAATAAGTTTACTTGAAGTTGAATGTTGATTATCTTAAATTATTTTCAATTGCTCATCTTATATCTTTCAATGAGCATTGGAAGTGTACCTGTAGAATGCCTTTTTAGTAAAACTGGTATCATAATGAAAGAAAAGATACCATCCTTAGCATTATATCAAATGAATGCAGTTTGTTTTATCCAAGATAACTACCTCAATGTTGGCCTATGAGCTATGTCATTTTTATTTTAAATTGAGACATTTTTGAATGAAGACCATGATACGAATTTACTTTTTTTATGAATAGAGATCAGGATTTTTGAATAGAGACCAGGATATGAATTTACTTTTTTTATAAGAGTTGCTGTTTGCATTACTTTATATTTTACTTCATTTTTTGCACTTCAAGATTTTTGCTTTTAATAAAGTGTAATAAGAATTTTAAAAGCTTATTATCAGTTTCTTAAACTATAACATAATTTAAGTGTGCTAACTAGCCATGAAAACTATCCAGCCATAAAATTATTGCTTACCCAGCTACAGCTGGTTAGCTAGCCGTGAAACCATTTTAGCCATGATAGTAACATTTCATGGCTAGAAGGTCAAGTAATAAGTGATATTGTTCAATTTATTTAGAGGTGTTTTTTTAACAAAAAAAGCAAAACAATGGTTTAAAATTTTACTTTTTAAAAATCTGATGAGAAATAAGATGAAAGAAATTTTTTTTTTTAAATTCTGATTTTTTAAATTTGAGTTTTTAAAACTTTTAATCTCTGATCAAAGTCAAAACCAATCTGATTACTTGATGTCAAGAATGTCTGATCTCTCGACATTACATCAATCAAATTACTTAGCTTTTGAGCTGCTTTCTGTTCTGGCGGATTAGTTACTTTAGCTTTTCAAAACTTATCATACTTATCAGTTGGACATCTTTCCTTATCATTTTTCCTTTTAGTATAATGCCCCCCTTTCAAACAAACTATGCAAAAAGAATTTTTTTTTAATTTCTTATTTTTTTTTTTTTTGCAACCATGATTGAATTCCTCTAAACACTTTTAACACATAAGCCACTTTTGTACTTGTGTAATATTTAAACGAAAGGAGATTTAAATTTAGCAATGCTAACATAAAATCTAGTTTTACTGCAGCATATAGGCACCTCAAATTCTAAATGTCCAACTCTACATTTATGTGTTGCCCTAAAAATATAATGATAAAAAATAAATACATATAATAAAAATAGATTTAAATTTTTTTTTTTTTAAATACAAAACATCTTTTAATAATTAAGTTATTTTATTCGTTATTTTTATTAAAGTTAGAAAGTTATTGAAAACATAATAAAATAGCATTTAAAAAAAAGAAACAGCTTAAAAAAAACTAGGTTTATTAAAAACAAACATTTTATGTTTGTGAAAAAGAAAACAAATTTCTCTAGCTTATAATTTTTCAGCATAAAAGAAGCTGGACATGCATGATCATGAACATGTTGTTGAAATATTGTCAGAGAAACTAATGCTGATTCAGCATTTTCATGGTGATCTGAAGAGTTAACAAGCATCTTTGACATGTTACCATTATCAAGATGTTAAAAAGATGTTAATAAAGATGTTATACATCTTGATAATGGTTTATCAAGATGTATAACATCTTTTAAACCATTATCAAGATGTTTCCTCCCTCAACAGAATTTTTTTTAAATCCACAAAAAAAAACAAAGAAAAAAAACAAAAAAAACAAGCACTACAAAAATCTAAATAAAATTACAACAACATTAAACTTTAAATATATCCCAATCCACCAAATCATAAAAACATCAATATACTTTTTTTAATGTTTGAAAACAACTTAAAACAAATGCCAGTTATTTTACAAAAAAAAGTACATTAAACTAACATTGAAAACCTGTTTCAGATTTTGTTAATATACTACACCTATAACAGTCCCACCAAGCATATAATCTTTACTGTGATAACAAAGATTAATAAAGTTTTTAAACTGTGATGCACAGCCATCAAAAAAATACTTTGGATGTAATACATCAGGTAGATTTTCATTAATATATCTTGTAAACAAACCTTGTGTCATAATCTACTTTTCTATCTAGAGGATTTTGAGAAATTCTCTTGAAAATAAAATACAATTATAAAAAGTAAACATTGAACATTTACTCTTGTGATAACTTTTAACATCAACCTGGACAAAAAATTGTTAATTTTCAGCAAATTCTCCTAAAATTAAGCATTTCTTCTGGTTTAGATTTCTTTTACAGATTTTCAAGTATCTACTTTTTGTTTTTGCTATGAATGAATGTGTGGTAAAGCTGGCGATGTTGTTACACGATAAATTATTAAATTCATCTAGTAGCTCTGATTGTAACAGTAGTGTCAGTCAGCATTCTGCCACTGCAAAATTTTTCTTTTAAATTTGCTTTTGGGTTCAAAAGTTTTGGAATTTCGAAAATTTATTTGGGTTCTGAAATTTAGGATATTCTCCAAACCATTATCTAGATAATATGTCTAAGTAACTCATCAGATTGCTGCAAAAATGCTGAAACAGCATTATTTTAGCTGGAAATATCTCAACAACTCATTTATATTTTACAATAAAATTTTTTCAGTTATTATTTATTTAACATGGACTGCAAATGATGTAAAAATAACGCAATTCTGAAATGTAAGGTGACATGGTCTGGTTGACTTAATATGAAATGACACTATTTCCAAAATTTTCTTATATTTTATTTTCCATCATATAGCTAAGTATCGGATTTTCCCCTGACTATAACATAGCTAAGTTTCAGATTTTTTCTTGACCATCACATAGCTATGTATTAGTATTTGAAGGCTGTTTTTTATTCAAATGTTATTTCCACAGGCAAATCTATTTGAATTTTAGATTTATTTTAAATAGATTTTTTACTTTAACTAGTGTTTTTCTCAGTCAGGTTAAAACAGTTTTATTTGTATACATATTGAGATTCAATAAAAATTCATTTAAAAGTAAAATGGAAACCTTTTCACCTTTTGTGTAGACAAAACATCATCGGTATATAAAGAAGCTTCTAATAATAGAATTACAGAGTGAAGCTTGTAATAGTTTGTAGCTTCATTTATATGAATTTGATCAATCAATTTTGAAATCAAACGAGGCTAAATAGCAAAAAATTAGAATTAATAGCAAAAAATGAGAATTATTAGCAAAAAATTAGAATTAAAAATAAAAAAAAGATTTTCATCTCAATACCTTAGAGAACAATGTGACAGATACAAGTGTGAACAATGTGAGATGTAAAAAAAATAAAACAGTTAACTTTCAAACATTTTTGCCAAAGACATTTTTTTTACAGCAGATGTTGTTTCAAACTAAAACTATTGCAATTGTTTATAACGATGATCTTTTAAACAAAAGCAAATTTATTTCCATTTATCAATGTTAATCTTTTATAACTTTTTCAGCATGACAATAATCAACTGTTGTTAAGCAAAACTGTTGTCAGATAATTTATTTCATGTTGTTAAATTTTCTTATTTTTTATAACTTTTATTATTTATTTTCTAATAAAAATTTTCTAATAAAAAAATTTCAAATTTTATTTAACTTGTACTTTTTTTATTAACAAAAAAAAAAAAAAAGAAAAGTAAATGGATTGTCTTGTTGTCAAACATTACTTCATTTAAATTGTAAAGTTCATGTAAAGTGTTTGTCAATTTTATTGCATTACCATTGCTTGAAAATGGTTTTAAAACAACTTTTTTTAAAATTCCTTAACCAATGAATTAAACTTTTAATTTTTTTTTACTTATTATTGTTATTTTTACATATTTTTTTACTTATTTTTGTTATTCTGTCACTGTTACGAAAAAAGCAATTTTAAAAAGCAATCTCAATCACACCCGACGAAGTCCCCATGAACTACCTTTTTCCTGAATTAAAAAAAGTTAATTGAAAAACTGGTTCCAACACATAAAAAAGTAGGTGAAAAACATAAGTCAGACAATGATAACATTTCCATTCTAAATGCTAAAGTTCGCAATTAATTCTCACAGAAGTCAGAAAACAATGCAATAAAATCTTTTATCAAAGCTTCAGTTTATAACAACAGAAAATCTTGATATTATTGTAGTATTATAAATAAAATATTAACTGTTATTTTAAAATTTAAGTTTCTATTTAGTTGAAATTAAAAAAAGTAAAAGTATTAACAATTAGATATACTACGATCATTATTATGATTGTCATCACTGCAATCATTATAATGATTGTCATTGCTACTATCATTATAATGAATTGTTTTTATGCAATAAATAAAAATTAAATTAAATTTAAAAAACTTACTGTAACAGGACATTCAACATCACTCTGTTTCCATAGACCATCTGTTATCATTGATGATGACATTAAAAAACAAAATAATTGTTTAAACTGTAAACCTCGCAAAGTCATAGGGATGAAATCTGACAGTTGTAAAATGTTATGATGATGTAAATTCATTGCATAAATACATGTTGTTAATTTGACCATCTAAAAAATGTATAACTTTATATATAATCTGAATACTATGAATACATTTAATAAATCTACTCTGCTCTAATTTTTAATGTTTAAAGTTTTTTTTTTCTACTTTGATGCTTTGTGCATTTTATTTTATTAAAAATAAAACAAAGTAATTGTCAAATGTGAAAAAGGTGTTTTGTTCTCTAAAACCATCATAATAGACATGTTCTTAAGATTAAAGTTTATTAGAAATAGACATTTGTTTAAAATTAAAGTTTATTAGAAATAGACATGTGTTTAAAATTAAAGTTTATTAGAAATAGACATGTGTTTAAAATTAAAGTTTATAAGAAATAGACATGTGTTTAAAATTAAAGTTTATTAGAAATAGACATGTGTTTAAAATTAAAGTTTATTAGAAATAGACATGTGTTTAAGAATAAAGTTTATTAGAAATAGACATGTGTTTCAAATTAAAGTTTATTAGAAATAGACATGTGTTTAAAATTAAAGTTTATTAGAAATAGACATGTGTTTAAAATTAAAGTTTATTAGAAATAGACATGTTCTTAAAATTAAAGTTTATTAGAAATAGACATGTGTTTAAGATTAAAGTTTATTAGAAATAGACATGTGTTTAAAATTAAAGTTTATTAGAAATAGACATGTGTTTAAAATTAAAGTTTATTAGAAATAGACATGTTCTTAAGATTAAAGTTTATTAGAAATAGACATGTGTTTAAAATTAAAGTTTATTAGAAATAGACATGTGTTTAAAATTAAAGTTTATTAGAAATAGACATGCGTTTAAGATTAAAGTTTATTAGAAATAGACATGTGTTTAAAATTAAAGTTTATTAGAAATAGACATGTGTTTAAGATTAAAGTTTATTAGAATTAGACATGTGTTTAAGATTAAAGTTTATTAGAAATAGACATGTGTTTAAAATTAAAGTTTATTAGAAATAGACATGTGTTTAAAATTAAAGTTAATTAGAAATAGACATGTGTTTAAAGCTAAAGTTTATTAGAAATAGACATGTTCTTAAGATTAAAGTTTATTAGAAATAGACATGTGTTTAAAATTAAAGTTTATTAGAAATAGACATGTGTTTATGATTAAAGTTTATTAGAAATAGACATGTGTTTAAAATTAAAGTTTATTAGAAATAGACATGTGTTTAAAATTAAAGTTTATTAGAAATAGACATGTTCTTAAGATTAAAGTTTATTAGAAATAGACATGTGTTTAAAATTAAAGTTTATTAGAAATAGACATGTGTTTAAAATTAAAGTTTATTAGAAATAGACATGCGTTTAAGATTAAAGTTTATTAGAAATAGACATGTGTTTAAAATTAAAGTTTATTAGAAATAGACATGTGTTTAAGATTAAAGTTTATTAGAATTAGACATGTGTTTAAGATTAAAGTTTATTAGAAATAGACATGTGTTTAAAATTAAAGTTTATTAGAAATAGACATGTGTTTAAAATTAAAGTTAATTAGAAATAGACATGTGTTTAAAGCTAAAGTTTATTAGAAATAGACATGTTCTTAAGATTAAAGTTTATTAGAAATAGACATGTGTTTAAAATTAAAGTTTATTAGAAATAGACATGTGTTTAAGATTAAAGTTTATTAGAAATAGACATGTGTTTAAAATTAAAGTTAATTAGAAATAGACATGTGTTTAAAGCTAAAGTTTATTAGAAATAGACATGTTCTTAAGATTAAAGTTTATTAGAAATAGACATGTGTTTAAAACTAAAGTTTATTAGAAATAGACATGTGTTTAAAATTAAAGTTTATTAGAAATGGACATGTTTTTAAGATTAAAGTTTAAAGAACATAAAAAGGGAAATACAATAAGCTAGATTTTGTACAATTATAATTTTGTACTGTACTGCTTTAATTAAATCTAAAAAACTTTAAAATAAATATAAAAAATCAATACATATACATATATATACAAGTCTGATCCGTGTCAACAACACGAAAGTTTTTTAATAATCAAAGGAAGTATCCAGAAGTTTCCAGAAGCATGCAGAAGTTTCCAGAAGAAGCATCTGGAAGCATCCAGAACATTCAGAAGTATCCAGAACCTTCCAAAAGCATCGAAAAGAAGCATCTAGAATCTTCCAGAACAGGTTCACACAGGTTCATTTTACTATATAAAAGACATAAACCGACATGTAATTCAGTCAGTATATGGAAGCCAATCAATCAGTATTATCAAGACAGTTTATCGAAGTGAGTTTTATCAAAGTTTTTTATCGAAGAACATCAATACAAGAAGTGAAATACAACAAGTGTTTCATTACATCGATACAGTCCACATCCAACCAAAACGTTGTGTTTCACAGAGCATTATTGTATCATCACAAGGTAAATGTAACACGGTAAGCCTTGAGAAGCGTGATTATTTATTTTTATTTTTTTTATGACTTCAAGTGCAAAAATGGCTCCCGACAGTCTTGGATTGGAACTAAGAAAGAAAATTATTGGCGATTACGTAAGTGGAAAGTCACAAAAAAGTATTTGTGATAAATATCGCGTGAAAAAATGGACCGTATCAAGACTATGTTCCAAATATTGTTCTACAGAGAAGTTGGCAGCAGATAACGAAGGTGGAAGACCGCATTCCACCACTTCTAGAGAAGATTCTATGATCGTCAGATCCATCAAGAAGGATCCCTGGATATCATCAGTCAAGATACAAAAGCAATTAGAGCTGCCTGTATCCGACAGAACAATCAGACAACGTGCTGTTGAAGCCAGATTGTTTTCTCGACGCCCTGCAAAGAAACTGCTGATTTCACTATAGAACCAGAAGAAAAGACTCCTGTTTATTACATCTCATATTGACTGGAATGCGCAGAAATGGCAATCTGTCCTGTTCAGTGATAAATCGAAGTTCAAAATCATTGGGAGCGATAGCATTTGCCGTGTACATTAACCAGCCGCAAAACACCTCGATTTACGTTACTGCCATAAGACCGTGAAACATGGTGGAGGCAATGTAATGGTCTGGGTTGTTTTTCTGCTAACAGTCTAGGTTATACATCGAATCGATGGAATAATGGACTGTTTCATGTATAAAAATATCCTGAAAAGATATTATGTTACCTCATGCTGAATGGAATATGCCAATAAAATGGGTTTTTTAGCAGCACAACGATTCGAAACACAATGCAAAAGTAGTCAAGCAGTGGTTTAAAGACAACCACCTATCGGTGATGGATTAGCCGCCTCAATCTCCGGATCTCAACCCTATCGAGAACCTGTGGGAGATCGTCAACCACAGAATTAATCGTGAAGGTGTTGGTAATAAGGATCAACTGTTTGAACAAATCCAAAAGGCCTGGGCAGCGATTCCGCAAAGATTCATTGATCACCTGATTGAATCTATGCCTCTAAGATGCAAGGCTGTGATCAATAACAAAGGATTCGCCACGAAATATTGATAGCGAAATACAGCTTGGTCAACATTTTGTGGAGTTGCACTTGTTTTGTCCATAAGGAAATCAACTTTTTTTTAATACTTTTGATTAACTTATTTATTTTTGTGTACAAGTAATGAACTTTGTGATGAAAAAAACTTGAAGAACGTTGTCTCTAAACAGTTACATAGTTGTTTCTCTAAATTGAAAAAATGCAGTACTTTTATATAAAGAAACTTTGGTTGCACTTGTTTTGTCCCATACTGTATATATACAGCTATTCACGAAAGTTTAAACGAGAGTGTTATTTTGATCAAGTAGGTTTATTTTTTTCTTAATAAAAAAATAAATGAAAATGGTGTCGATTTAATTTTTTTTATTTGTTAAATAAAAAGTAATTTGGTTTAGAACAAATGTGAACTTGTTATGAAATGATTTATATAAATTTAAAAAAAGTTAATTACAAACATAAATGTGAAAAATGAGTAGCACAAAAGTTTAAACGAAATTTTACAAACAAATAAAAAATGGAAATAAAATGCCAAGTTAATATTTAAAATGTCCGCCTTTGTTTTTATAGCAAAGGTAAACTTGTTTCTGCATCGATTCAACTAATTTCATGCACATCTCTTGAGGTACCTTCAACCAGTAAACATTCAAAAGTTGCTTTAAGTGCTCAGTTGATTGTATTTGGTAATTAGTAAGTTGATTGTCAATCCAAGACCAAATATTTTCAATTGGGTGGAGATCTGATGATCTAGGGCACCAAGGGATCACATTTATCTTTTTCTGCAAACAATATTCTTTGATTGATTTAGCTGTATGAGCTGGAGCCCCGTCTTGTTGAAAGATAAATTGCTTGCTTCTACCATACATCTGTTTGATTGATGGAGTTAAACACGTTTCCAATGTATTTTTGTAGGTGTACTGATTTATTTGGCCTTCGTACAGCTCACACATACCGATACCTTTGTGAGAAAAACATCCCCAAATACCAATGGAACCTCCACTGCCTTGTCGACGTGGTTGCAAAAACCGTTCTGAATATTTCTCCGTTGCAAATCTTTTGACATATAGTCTTCCCTTGCGGTTTACAACTTGAAAATTAGCTTCATCACTCCAAATAACTTTTAACCAGTCCAGCTTAATTTTTCTTTTGACCATATTCGCCGTTTATGTCGGTCCATGATCAATAAAATAGGTTATCTTGCTGCAATGGACGTTCCAATATCTTTTTGCAGCAATGTTCACCTAACAAGCTCTCATTATGTTTATTTTTCGACTCGTTGAAGATTTGAGCTTACATTATGTTTATTTTTCGACTCGTTGAAGATTTGTGCTAACTTTTTGTAGCTGTGCCTAGGATTCTCTCTGCAGCTTCTGAATATGCTACTTTTTTCACGGTCACTAAGCTTCGATGGTCTCCCGGAACGCGGCATGTCAACGACGTCCTTGGTAAGCTTCCAGGTTTTGACTGTTTTTCGTACGCAAGATTTAGAAACCCCAAGTTTTTTGCCTATTTGAACATTGCTGTGAATTTTTGACTTAGACATACCAATAATTTGCCATTTGATCTCACTTGAAACTGGTTTTCGCCCCATTTGCATGCAATTTGAAATTGTTTGAAATTTGCAATGATTTCAATTGATTTTCGTTGAATATGAAGCTATTGAATAATGTTTTGACGATTTTTATTGACTGAAAACCACTCAATCTACTTATGTTTATGTTTTAAAACAATTTTCGCAACGGATTAATTAATTACTTAATAAATAATTGAATTTTAATAAACTCGTTTAAACTTTTATGACACCAATTAATTTCTCACATCTATCTATTAATCAAATTCCCAAGAGATCACTTATGAGTCGAAACCTACTTTTTTTATTTATTTTTGATCAGAAAACCTAGTTACCGAATGGGGAAAAATTATTTCGATATCTATTTCCATTACATTTTTATTAAAGAAAAACCAAAGATTTGTTCTTAAAATTACACCCTTGTTTAAACTTTCGTGAATAGCTGTATGTATATATATATATATATATATATATATATATATATATATATATATATATATATATATATATATATATATATATATGCCTCACGCATCGCTGTGAGGCAGGAGTTCAAGGTTCCGATTCCTACCATTTGATTTTTTTTTTTTTATAATTTAATCTTTTTCGATTTTTCTAAAATTTAAAGCAAAACGCTTTTGAAAGAAAAAGTTTGTTTTGAAAGAAAGAAAGTTGTTTTGTTTTGCATTTTAAACAACAAATATAAAAAAAAACAAAAAACAAGCTGATGATTTGAACTTACCACGCGGCGACATTCACTTTTTTTTAAACAATAAGGGGGTTTAAAAAATATTTTTTTATTAAGAACATAATTCAAAATTCTAACTTTATATTTAAAATAAACCATTTTATTAAAATTATAATTTTTAAAAGTAATAAAAAGTTAAAAATACATAATATTGGGGTAATATGGAATATTAAAGTTTTACAGTCATTTTACCACACCCCTGATAATCATTCTAAAACAAGTGCACAACAATGACAGAATTTAGAAAACTATCAAAATAGCATTATACTCTGTATAATATTGAAAGGACTCAGGCCCTTTAAATGATGAGGCACAAAGCATTGTAGATATGATGTATAAATACACGCTGTAGATATGATACACAGATGTACACGTTAGTGTGGCCTAATTTTTTTAGTTTTTCTTGAATAAAAAATAAAACATTTAAAAAATACTATGGATATTATATGCATGACATATATAAAAACATTACATTCCATAACAAATAAAAGGGAGAAAATTTTAAAAAGCTTTTTAAAATTTTTAAAAACATGAAAACACCATTGAAATATTTTTTCACATATTTCACATATAATTTTTTTAGTAGCTTACTTCAGAACATTTCATTCCAAATAAATATACAGGGTAAAGGTTTTAATAAGCCATAAGTAAAAGTAAGATACTTATGTGAACTTTCATATTGGCTCATATTCTATTGTTCACTAAAAATATTAGAAAGAGAAATATAGACAAAGTCAATGTGGAATAGAGTTTCTCTGTTTATGAGTGAAAGAAATTATTTTATAAATCTCTTATAAAATCCACTTATATAAGATACTCTTATAAGATCCGTATACAGAAAAGGTGCGCATGTTAATTTTTTTTTTGGACTTTTTGTCTGGACTCGTGCTTAAAGCAATTAATTTAGAAAATTATTTTATTTTACTAAGTAATATTAAAGTGAGTAAGAAGTGATCTATGCGGAATAAATTAGTACAGAAATGATGGCTTTGGTAAAGACAGGTATTTAACTGGTCTGTAAAGCTAGGATATGCATATAAAAAGTATAGAAAAGGTTAGTGTATTATAGACTTACAAAGACCCATGTTTTTACGGGTCCAGTCATGAGAAACTTTTTATACGGATGATCACGTTTCAAGCTGGTATATAGACAAGTACTAATATTCGATCGGCAATTTATGCAACGGCTACCGTAACAATTAACGTTTATAAAGGTTATTTATAATATAAATTTTTATTTTTGATTGCTTTAAGTAGGAAACAACAAGTTTTTCAAGGATGTTGAATGCTGAACTATTAAATAGAGCACAGAGTACACTATTAGAGTTTCAGTCAAGTTCTTTAACAATATAGAGTCTTTAACAATATAGAATCGAATTTTTTAACAAATTTAAAAATGACTTAAGTACCAAAAACTATGAAGCACAAAAAACTATCATCATCACCAAGTTTTCTAAACCTATCATTCACTAATATTTGTGGTCTTTGAAGTAACTTTTTTTCTGTTGGGTCTTATCTCTTGCAAAGTTCACCAGACCTACTTGCTCTTTGTAAGATTAATTTGAATTTGGCTGTCTCATCTTGTGATCATAGTGTTGATGGTTATCTTCCTTTATTTCGTAAAGACTACAATAGTCACATGCTTGGCCTGGGCATTTACATTCTTAAAAATTCACCAATTTGTCAGGAAATTAGGTTTTAATCCATCAACTATTCTTTAATGTGCTTTCGTTTAGCACCACTTCATTCTATCTCTTTTCTCTTTGTTCTATATCGCTCTCATTCATTTCAAGACTGCACTCTTTTCGATGTTATTTCTGATCAAATTAGGTTTGAATCCACAGGCTATCTTGTATGTGTTTTCGTTTAGCACCACTTTACTCTATCGCCTTTCTCGTTGTTCTATATCGCTGTCCTTCATCTAAAGACTGCACTAATTTTGGATGTTATTTCTGGTCAAATTGACCAAGCTCTCTCTTTATCCATCAACCAATATCATTGTTGTTGGTGAATTTAATGCTTATTGAATAGCTTGGCTCTAGTGTCAACATACTGAAATCTACTTCATTCCAACCTGCAAATAAACCTACAAATTATTTACACAAACATATGTACGTATTGCTATACGAATAGAATTTTTACATTAAATGTAAATGAAATTGTTATTAAATTACATAAATTAAATATTTACATATTTAGAAAAGCTTTTTTAATTGCTTATTAAAAAGTACTGAGAGGCTCTTTCTTGCCATTAACTCAAGTTTAATGGCTGCCGTGAGTTCTGTGTCAATATGCACAAATGAACACTATCTATTTTCTTGAAGAATCTTCTAGAAAACTTGATAAAACTCTCGATTTTTGTTGGTTTTGGTTAAGGGAAACTTTCAGTTGTGCTTTTTGAATTTTCTTTGGTGTTGTGATTTTTTATAATTTTTGAAATGTTGTTTGAGCAACTCCGAAGGTAAGTATATATATACTATATATAAGTATATATATATACATATATAAGTATATATATATATATATATATATATATATATATATATATATATATATATATATATATATATATATATATATATCAACCGGGTTGATATATATATATATATATATATATATCAACCAATTGAGGTCAGCAATAATTTGCTCAATCTTTTTCAAGTCGGCAGTTAGGTCGGCATTGCCGAATGCCGACCCTAAATAACCCGAGGGTTGTATATATACATATATGTATATATATGTATATGTAAATATATATATATATATATATATATATATATATATATATATATATATATATATATGTATATGTATATATATATATATATATATATATATATATATATATATATATATATATATATATATATATATATATATATATATATATATATATATATATATATATATATATATATATATATATATATATATATATATATATATTATATATATATATCAAGTAAAAGAATTAAAAATATTATACCTGATCTTTATTCCACTGAACATAGAAATCCAACAAGCTTCCAATCAAATTAATTAAATCCAATCTGTAGAGATCCAAAACTTTATCTAAGCAACATCTTAATAAAACAAGAAGTAAACCATCAATTTCATCAGTACATAGTTTCACGAGCTTGTTATGAACACAGTATCCATACAATCTTATAATTGATATCAAGTTGAAACATCTTTCATTAAATTTTTTTCGTATAAAACATTTTTCAGTGTCATCTAAATTTTTTGCCAAATTAAGATTAGTAACAAATGGATTGGTAACAAATGGAGGAAATGAAAGTTTGAAGACATCAGCACCAAGTGTAATTAAAAAATCAACAAAATCTGCAACTTTGGGAAGCCAAACATTTTTCTAACATTAACATAAAAAATAAAGAACTTTTCCAAAAAAAATGCAGTGCAGTATGTTATACAAATGTTATAAAAGCAATCATGCATAAATTTTTATTGAATTATTTATCAGAGCAAATTAAAATGGTATGTTTAGATGTGCAAATTAAAATACTGTGTTTAAATAATTTTTAAAAAATTTCTCAACCTTTTAACCAGATCATTTTTCTCTCAAATTAAAATGCTATGTTTAGATGTGCAAATTAAAATGTTGTGTTTAAATAATTATAAATATCATACATAAAATATATTATATTTGATAAAAACTTTAAAATTTTACTTTCTCAACCTCTTAACCAGATCATTTTTCTATCAACTTTATTTCCCTAACAAGTCAATTAGTTTTTCTTACAACCAAAAACACTTACTTTCACTTACTTTTACGTTCACTGCTTGGTTTGTGTCTTGCCTCTCAAACATCTGATTTCTTATTTTAGATCTAACAAACTACAATTACTTTTATTGCATATCAAAGGCTTTCAATACTTTTAGTATGATTTCTCAGGATCTATTCTAGGAAAAAAATTTGGGCAGTGGTACCCCCTCATTTCGGCGGACTTTAGTGGAAAATCTGCGTTTTTTTTGCAAAAAACCAATATTTGCCATAAAAACGTAAAAAAAAAAAAGTAAAAAAAAATTTTAATTTGGGTGGCCCCCAAATACGGTCGAAGCTGTTGATAACGGTCTAGAATAGCCCTTGCATCTGATTATGATCTTATTATTATTATTGCCAACATTTATCTTCACCTACTCTTGTTTTTTAACTCTACTTTATTTCCAAATTTTCAACTTAAGTAGAAGCCTGCAGTCTTGTTGAAACATTTTCAACTTGAGTAGAAGCCTGCAGTCTTGTTGAAACTATCATTTAAAAAGTACTTAAAAGTAAACAAATAAAAGAACTGTATAATTCTAATTTTTAAGTTGATATAAAACATTATAGAAGTAACACAAATTACTTTTTATACAAAATACAGTAGTGGTGTCGTGGTGGTTGTGTTGTTGTAGTAGTGTTGTGGTAGTGGTATTGTGGTAGTGGTGTTGTGGTAGTGGCCTTATGGTAGAGGTGTTGTGGTAGTGTACTCACTTCGTAAAGAAGAAGTTCTGAGTTTGATTCCCACTGCATCTCTATTAATACTGTTCTCAACTTGTTTCTTTGCGCAGTGGCCTTATTTCGAAGTTAATATCTTGAAAATATTCAATAATGCAAATTTAATATAATCTATATGAAACTTATTGTAATTAGTTTTCATTAACTATAAAAATAATAAACTTTATAAAAATGTTTTCAAATTCAAACAAAATTTATAATATTTTAAATGTGATTGTTTCATTTTTTTTGAATAATATCCTATACTTTTAAAAATAGCGATACTTTTTGAAATATAACTAAAATTAAAAATATATATATATATATACCATAAATCTGGCCTAGAATGCAGTTTGAATCTCTATAATGACCATATGTAAAAAACTTTTTATTAATTTCTCAAAGCTTTTTTTTAATTAAGTAAAAAATTTTTTACTATTTGAACAGTGATTTTTAACCCATACTTGCAAGTAAGTATTAGCCATTACCTCCATAACCCAAAAGAGACCATTACCTATATTGTATTAATAATATTATTTGTAAATAAAATATTATGTAAATAAAATATTATGTAAATAAAATATTATGTGAATAAAGTTGAGAATTAGTAAAAATTTTATTTTCTTAAAAGAATTTTGAAAGTATTGAGCACAGTACTCTATCGCTGATTCACCCCCCCCTCCCTTAACACACAGAGAAAACAACCAAAAAAAAACTACCTTCAACACACACACAAAACAACCACAAAATAACTAACTTCAAAACACACACACACAAAACAACTAAAAATAAAAACTAACTTCAACACGCACACACACACACAAACAACCAAAAAAAAAACTACCTTCAAGACTTTAGAGATAAGAAGATTGTATATTGATTCTGATACAACTTTGTCTTTATGCAAGCACACCAGTCTCCATAATAAATGACAAACATCATCAGGAGTTGATTCATCGATTGTCAAAAAACTTAATAAATCACAAATATCATTTGCAGTTGTCACATCAACTAAACTTAAGAAAACATCAGATTATCTCTTGTCTTTTTTAAAAACATCATTTTAAAACAAAACCTCATAAAACAAAACCCACGATGAGTGTTTAAAACAAAATAAAAACAAAACCCGTAGATCTTGGACAAAAGTTTTAGCATATTTTGTTGACATAAAAAAAAAATTATAAAACAAGTCCAGGAATTTTTTTTAAAATTAAAAAAATTGCCTGCCCTAGCCAAAACCCTGAATCGATGTAGTGGCACTCCTCGCATGTTCTACATATTTCAGTCAATGTATTTACACTCCTAGCATGTTGTATCTCAGTTGATGTATGTGCACTCCTAACATGTTCTACCTAATTCAGTTTATGTATGTACATTAAAAAAAAAAACTAAAAAAAAAAAAAGAATTAAAAAATAAAAACAGCATAAAACATTAAAAAACAAACAAAATAAAAAACGCATTCTGCATTAAAAAAAAAAAAAAGATTTAAGCCAATTAAGTTTGAGCTTTTGTGGTAATTAAAAATTGTTACATTTACAATTATTATAATGGTTTTGGCTTTTAGACAACAGAATTGTTACTTTTCACTTTTTGTTCAACAAATGTTGGACAAAAGTGAAAAGTAATTAAAAGTGATGTAACTTGTTGTCCTTTTTTACTTTCGGACTCTTAAAGCCAACAATTTATAGAACTCTCTTTCTATATATAAAGCTATCTCTCATATATGTAAATATGTATATATTATGCATTGAAAATGAGCATTTGTATTGAGACTCATAATTTGGCAGGTATACACCCGATCGAGCTAAAATAAATTTGACCTGAAAGCTAAAACCCCACATTAGTCCAATTTCAACTGCCAGAATGTAAAGACATTTTTATTCAAAATTTTAAACATGGGTGAATTCATGCCTACAAAACCATTTTTCAAGGAACTCTCTTACATTACTTCCACAAAAGACAACAGCAGCTGAGACCCATAGAATATTGGTGGAAGCACATGGTAACTGCTCTTTCAGAACAAACATGCAGAAGGTGGTTTCAACAATTTAAGGGTGGTGATTTTGACCTCGAAGATGAAGAACATCCTGGTCTTTTCCAAATTAACTGTTGATTTTTATAACATATGCTTATTTTAAATGCATAGTTCCAACACACACACAGACACACAAATATATAATAAATATATATATATATATATATATATATATATATATATATATATATATATATATATATACACACACACACACACAGCACTTGGAATTAAAATCAGCATTCGGCAATGCCGACCTAACTGTTGACATTACAGAAGAACTTTAAAACTTAAGTTTATTTGCTATTTTGAATAAATTTAAAGCAGCAAAACAAATGTTTCAAAATATATCTAAATAAAATAATATAAGTAAAAACAAAAAAATGAACATTTTATTTAAATTCTGAATAAAATTATTTTAAAAAACGGCAAAACAAACATATTTAAATTCAAAACAAACATATTTATAATAAAAAAATTAAAACAGTTAAAATAAAAATGGAAAAATGAATGTTTTATTTAAATTCAAAATAAATAAAAGAATAAAAAAAAAAACATTTTAATAAAATTCTAAAGTAAATATTACAAGAAAAAAAAAAAAAAAAAAAAAACAAACAAACAAAAAATAAACAATCATTTATTCAAATTGTTAATACAATAAATAAAATAAAATCGGCAAAACAAATGTTTTATTTCAATTGTTAACAAAACAATTAAAATAAAAACGACAAAGAACAGAATAATTTAATTTCTAAATAAAATAGTTAAAAAAAAAACAAACATTTTATTTATATTCTAAATAGAATAATTAAAACAAAACGGAAAAACGGAAAAATGTAAGTATTAATTCTAAATGAAATAATTAAAATCAAAAAAAAAATAATTAAAATAATTAAAAAAATAATTAGAAAACTTTAAAATTTTTGAAAAAAAAAGTTTGAAAAAAAGTTGTCAAACTTTGCATTTGTTTTTCTGTCAATTTGTGCTGAAATTTTGCATGTTCGTCAATTTGTCCAACCCTGTTTCAAAATTTAGTGCTAACTTGATGACCTAAAATGTTTTTAGACTCTCGCATTTCACGTATGAAATCAGCAATTTTAGGTTTAGTGAACATTTATTTGTTTTGAAATATATAAATATCTTTTAATTATTGTTTATGTGATGTTTATTCAGAAAATATTAATTTGTATAAAAGAATTTTTTCTTGAATTAAATGACTTCAAATTAATTATGATTCTAAAAATTTAAATGTAGTTTCAAAGGAATGTAAAACAGTTTTGCAATAATAGTTATTTAATAAAGAAAAATTATTTTCATTATATACTAGTTCACATCACGTAAAACATTGTCTCCTTCATAATTTAAATTATGTGAAAAGCAATAAAAAACTTTTTATTGCTTTCACATAATTTATAAAATTTTTCATAAAATTTTTTCTTTTTAAAAAAAAGTGTCTTTTCACAAATGGATGTAAAATTTATTGGTTCAATGTCATAAAAATTTTTTTTGATGTAATTTATTTATGAACATAAATTAAATTTACAAATCTTACTGGTAACTGATAAAATCTAATTATAAGTTGTTTATAGTCTTTATTAAAAATAGTTCATTAAATACCTAACAAATAAATTGAATTATGATAAACAAATAAAAGATTGTTTAAGTACAAGATTAAGTACAAGATTGTTTTAAGAAATAAATTATATAAAGTTATAATCTTTTTCAATTTACTAATTTAGATTTAATCAGTAATTTTGTTTATATTTATTTAAATGATTAAATGATTTATAAATTAACTAATTTATGTGTATGTATGTATGTATGTATGTATGTATGTATGTATATATATACATATATATATATATATATATATATATATATATATATATATATATATATATATATATATATATATATATATATATATATATATATAAATTTTTATCAAATGTGCTCTGTATTATTTCAATTTAAAATACAAACCACAAAAGTTGTAAAATTAAATGGTGAATTAACATTTAATATTTTTTTTGAAAAAACTTCTGTGCAAAAGTTTAGAAACAGTATCATACCTCACAAATAAATCATGTTGCACTTGTAAACAAAAGCAAAACTTAAGGCCAAAATATTTGTGAAATTTAATAATTTAATTACTTTGAGATGTTTCAAAGACAGTGATTTATATATATATATATATATATATATATATATATATATATATATATATATATATATATATTATATATATATATATATATATATATATATATTTATATGTATATATATACAAATCTATATACATATATATATCTATATGTATATGTATATATATATATATATATATAAATATGTATATATATATATATATATATATATATATATATACAAATAATATTGCGTGCTATTGTAAGCAATCTGACATCATACTGAAATAGCCTGCTGCTGGGGGCTTCAGTACATACATCGACTGACAAATAGCCTGACTCACAGTGGAGTGCTGCTACATCGACTGAGGGTTTGGGATGGGGAAGCAATCATTTCATTTATCATTCTTCATTTTTTCTTCTTTTTTTTTGAAAAAAATGGTATAGCTTAAGGTAAGCAGAAAAAGTGAGCAAATGCTTATCAAAACACGCTTTAGTAAGTGTATATATATGTATATATATATATATATATTTGTATATATGTATACATATATTTTTTAGAGAATATATATATATATATATATTTTCTAAAAAATTTTGGAAAATATTTTTAATAAAAATATTTTATTTAACTAAACTCAGTTATAACTTATTCTACTCACTTTCTAATCTTGTTGCAACACCATCATCTTTTAATATCTCATTATTTAAGTCAACCAAATCTATATCACAATATTTAAATAAAGGAGTCAAGTTTTGAATTGACTCTTCATTTACTTGATGTATAAAAATCTCATCACCGGGACAAATTTCTGGGAAATCATTTTCAAGAAAACCTGTTACCTAAATAATTTAAAAAAAAAAGATAAATTTTTTGTTTGTAGTCACTCCATATGAAAATCAAGAGTAACTTTCAAAATACCCATGAAACAAAACTTCTATTAGGAAATCAAGTAATATTTAAAACAATATAATTTAGAAAAACCATATAAATAAAAATTATATATATAAAAAAAAAAAAAAGAATATTAAGGTATTATACAAAATAATAAGTGAAAGTATTATTTTAAATTGTCACTCACTACATGTAATCTAGCTAAAATCTGATTATATTATATTTTAATTAAGTTATAAAGTTACTAAAAATTATAATCTTATCTTGTTCTGATAATAAATGAATTTAAAAGCAATTGAATGTTTATAAGGGTTTATTTTAGAATTAAACAATTCTAGTACAACTTTTTTTTAGGGTAAAATATACAACCCCTCCCCCCCCCCCCCACAAACAAACACACACACACTTGTACCTATATGTAAACTTAATCAAAAAATTATTAAAATAACTGAGAGAAATCTAATTATCTTTTACAAAATCACGTTGTAACTTTATTCACTAAAAAGATTATATATATATATATATATATATATATATATATATATATATATATATATATATATATATATATATATATATATTAAGTAAAAAAGTGGCAAAGATTTGACTCAGCAGATGTAAACCTCTGAAACATATCCCTATATTAATGTGGTGAAGGTAGGAGGAGCTTGTTAACTTAGAATGCATTAACAAGATTAACAAGAGGCATATCTGATGGTAGATTGGTGGCCTCAGGTGAGTCATTGTTGTGAAATAAATTACTGGTCAGTGGCAAGTATGTTACTGCAACCAAGGTATGTCCTAACACCAGTCAGCCACCTTTTAAAGTAGCTGGTGATATTGTTAGTGTGATAAAATGTTTGAGATTAAAGGTTAAGTTGTCAGGGAAAGTCCTATGAGAGAAGAGATTGCTAAATGATAGTTAGAAGGCTAGACATATGTTGCCTGTCAAAGACTTGAAAAGTGGAAGTGCTAAGGTTATTAAATATAATGACTTTTGGTACATATAGTTAGGGTTTAGTTGCAAAAAAGTGTGAGGTGTTTATATTTTAGAAACAGAAAAATGAATTATAAAGTTACACCTCGAACGGTGTAATGTGTGATAGAGTGCTAGCTTTGTAATCAGGACATTCTTAGGTCAATTTTTACCATATCCCTGGCAGCACCACGCTCAACTCGTGCAGTTACCTTTTCTCGTATTTAAGAGTTAAAGGTTTGCGAGAGGGTTAAAAGAGGGTTAGAGGGGTTAGAGGGCACAACAATTAAAAAAAAAAGAATATCCTTAAATATAGTGGCTCCTGCAGCATCGGGAAAGTGAATGCAGTAAAAAAAATAATCAAAAAACTGATAGGACAAAAGAAAAGAAAGAATTCTAGATTTTATTTGTAATATTTTGAAAAATGCTGAAGAAAATAGTGTGGCGGGCTAAATTCTTCACAATAAAGACATTATCAGTATTAGCAACTCAATTAAACTTAAGTCTTGAAATTGTCTTGAAATTGTTTTGACAAAAGTTTAAAGCTGACATTATCTATTTAAATTGACACAATTCCAAAAATGGAAAAAAAAAATTTCGACTGGTTAAAGGTGTTTCAAGTTGACAAAAGTCAATTGTAATTAAGTGTAGACATCCACTGGTATCAGTACTGGCATACTAAATTAAAACTTTAAAAGAGTGAGAAAAGATTTCAAAACATGCAAAGCAATGTATAGTAGAACTCAATATGTTGTCTGCTACTTCACTAGATGCTGCAAATACACATTAAATAATCAAGACCAGACAACCTTGGATACATCATTTGCAAGACTCTTATTCTATTTAAATACAATCATTTTTTAATTGAATAGGTTATGGCTCCATCTGAGAAAAATTTCAAATACTCTATTAAATAAAAGCATTTTACCAAGAAACTCATGTTTAGGGCTCAGTTAAGGGTATTTCTAAATAAGGAAAGATGCATGTTTTTAATTTAAAAGAATGAGAATAGAGAAAAACAAGCTGATTTATTTATCAATGCACCTATAATTTTTTTTCAAATCATTTCAGTTCTTTGTTGTCACAATTTTGTATATATATTACATTGAAATAATGTTGTCACATTATTTCAATTTAAAATAATGTAAACGCAGAAAACAACAAAAAACACTAAAGTGTTATCTAATCCAACAAGAGTGGAAACTAAAAGTAACTCCTTTAAAAACTCAAGAAACATTAAGTATATATCTGTCTTATCAAAGGTTACATAGAAAAGTGTAAAAATCTTCTTCTTTTAATATAAATTTTGAGTCTGATTCAGTCAGAACAAAAATAAGTTTTATTTTTGTTACTATATATATATATATATATATATATATATATATATATATATATATATATATATATATATACAGTATTGTACAAAACATTTGCAACCAACATCAAACAATGCTAAAAAGTGTTCCTAATTTTACATGTCTTAAAAACGAAACAAACTATACTACCACAGCAAACAGTTCAGGAGTCTGGAGTCATAGCATGCCATGACATGAGCAATTAGCTGACAGGTGACAGCACAAAGGCAGAATTTCAAGTTGACAAGTGCCATTTTGCAGCGGACAAAACAAGTACAACTTTTTTGGTTTGTTTCATTTTTTTAAGTCTGGTCCGTGTCAACGTCACGGAAGTTTTTTAATAACTAAAGAAAATATCCAGAAGTTTCCAGAAGCATGCAGAAGCTTTCAGAAGTTTCTAGAAGAAGCATCTGGAAGCATCCAGAAGCATCCTGAAGTATCCAGAAACATTCAGAAGCATCCAGACGCATCCAGAAGTTTCCAGAAGCATCAAAAAGAAGCATCTAGAATCTTCCAGAACAGGTTCACACAGGTTCATTTTACTATATAAGAGTAAACCGACATGTAATTCAGTCAGTATATGGAAGCCAATCAATCAGAATTATTAAGACAGTTTATCGAAGTGAGTTTTATCAAAGTTTTTTATCGAAGAACATCAATACAAGAAGTGAAATACAACAAATGTTACATCGATACAGTCCACATCCAACCAAAACGTTGTGTTTCACAGAGCATTATTGTATCATCACAAGGTAAATGTAACACGGTAAGCCTTGAGAAGCGTGATTATTTATTTTTATTATTTTTATGACTTCAAGTGAAAAAAAGGCTCCCGACAGTCTTGGATTGGAACTAAGAAAGAAAATTATTGGCGATTATGTAAGTGGGATGTCACAAAAAAGTATTTGTGATAAATATCGCATGAAAAAATGGACGGTATCTAGACTTTGTTTCAAATATCGTTCTATGGGGAAGTTGGCAGCAGATAACAAAGGTGGAAGACTGCGTTTCACCAATATTAGAGAGGATTCTATGATCGTCAGATCCGTCAAGAAGGATCCCTGGATATCATCAGTCGAGATACAAAAGCAATTAGAGCTACCTATATAGGACAGAACAATCGGACAACGTACTGTTGAAGCCAGATTGTTTTTTCGACGCCCTGCAAAGAAACCGCTGCTTTCACTAAAGAACCAGAAAAAAAGACTCCTGTTTGCTACATCTCATATTGACTGGAATGTGCAGAAATGGTGAACTGTCCTGTTTAGTGATGAATCGAAGTTCAACATCATTGGGAGCAATGGCATTTGCCATGTACGTCGACCGGCCGGAAAACGCCTCAATTTGCGTTACTGCCATAAGACCGTGAAGCATGGTGGAGGCAATGTAATGGTCTGGGGGTGTTTTTCTGCTAACAGTCAGGTCCAATACATCGAATTGATGGAATAATGGACCGTTTGATGTATAAAAATATCCTGAAAGAAGTTATGTTATCTCATGTTGAATGGAATATGCCAATAAAATGCCCATTTATTGGCAAATACCCATTTTATTGGCATATTCCATTCAGCATGAGGTAACATAAATTCTTTCAGGATATTTTTCAGCAAGACAACGATCCGAAACACACTATAAAAGTAGTCAAGCAGTGGTTTCAAGACCACCTATCGGTGATGGGTTGGCCGCCTCAATCTCCAGATCTCAACCCTATCGAGAACCTGTGGGAGATCATCAACCACAGAATTAATCGTGAAGGTGTTCATAATAAAGATTAACTGTTTGAACAAATCCAAAAAGCCTGGGCAGCGATTCCACAAAGTTTCATTGATCACCTGATCGAATCTATGCCTCGAAGATGCAAGGCTGATCGACAACAAAGGATTCGCCACAAAATATTGATAGCGAAATATAGCTTGGTCAACATTTTGTGGAGTTGTACTTGTTTTGTCCAGAAGGAAATCAACTTTTTTTAATACTTTTGATTAATTTATCAATTTTCGAGTACAAATAATGAACTTTGTGATGAATAAAACTTGAAGAACATTGTCTCTAAACAGTTACATAGTTATTTCTCTAAATTGAAAAAATGCAGCATTTTTATATAAAGAAACTAAATTAACATTATGTGGTTGTACTTGTTTTGTCCAATACTGTATATATATACATACATACATACATACATATATATATATACATATATATATATATACATATACATATATACATATATATATATATATATATATATATATATATATATATATATATATATATATATATATATATATATATATATATATATATATATATATATATATATATGTATATATATATATACATATATATATATATATATATATATATATATATATACATATATATATATATATATATATATATATATATATATATATATATATATATATATATATATATATATATTATATATATATATATATATATATATATATAACCCTCGGATTTAGGGTCGGCATTCGGCAATGCCGACCTAACTACTGACCTAAAAGTGTTTGAGGTCGGCAAATATTTCCGACCTTGTTTCTATGTTTTATGGTAAGACCTTTGTATCAATTTTTTTTGCTGACCTAATGCCGAC